CTGGCCTGCTCTGTGGCTGCTTGCATCCCTACGAGCAGATTTCCGATTCAAGCGGGCAGCTGCAGTTGAGAGCAGTGTGAAAATGGCACTGCAGCTGGAATGAGCGAGTTTGAGGTCCTTGCCATTCCTCCTGTGGTTAAGGAGAGCCGCCCCTGCTGATCCACTAGGTGGCGATGTTCCTGCACAGAGCCTTGCTGCTTCCTGTTCTGCAGCAGTGAGGTGCGGGACTCTGCATGTCAAATCCTTCAGGGGGACCGAGCCAGAAGCTCTTATTGCTAAACCCCGTTTTGTTTTTCTTAAACAGCATTCCACCCATCTGTTGACTGACAGTTTCAAAGTGTGGGTTTGACTTTCAGTCCACCTTTTGCTCGCGAGAGCAATACCACCTCCCAGTGCAGGTCAGGTCTTTCCTGGGGGCATCGCTGGATTTTTCCTACCCAGGTTATCGCTACACCATCCCAGCCCCCTGTCAGGCACTCTGTCCTTCTTCTGCAAAGAAACCCTTTTCTTTTCTGCTCTCCTACTGCTCCCTGTAAATCCTTTCTTGAATCACCTGTTTTTTTTTCCACTGCACGTCATGCACACCTGGCAGAGTGTCTTGGCGAAGGGCTTTGGGCATACCATCTGGAGATATACTCATCAGCAATAGACACAGCAGTGTCCCTGTGGTTGTGGTTCTGGATCGGTGACTGGAAGGTTGCGGGTTCGAATCCTGGGTGAGCCACTGCTGCTGTACCCCCTGAGCAAGGCACTTCACCCGAATGGCTCCAGTACAAATACCCAGCTGTGTGAACAGGTGTAAATATCACTTGGGAGAAAAGAGTACATGTATAAAATTATCAGGAACAAATACTAGGTTTATTCCAGGCTGGAAAGAGAAGAAAAAAACATAGCATTTCGGCTGTGGAGCCTTCTTCTGCAGTAAGAAAGATAGGGCAGTCAGCAACGATAATATAGCCCGGGAAAACACTAGCCAGGAGAGAGGAGGAGGCGGGAGCAGGGAGCAGGGGACAGGCAGAGTGGCCAATCGAGTGGTGCGAGGTCGAGAGAGGTGTGGAGAGGTGGGAAACGAAACCTACAAATAAATAGAGAGAATTGGAAGCAAACAAGTCTGTCGTTGAGAGAAGGGGGGGAGGTGTGAACCAAGTTTGTGGCTCAGGATCTGCGCCGTTGGGCCCCTGAGCAAGGCCCTTCACCCTACCTGCTCCAGGGGTGCCGTATAAATGGCTGACCCTGCACTCTGACCCCCAGCTTCTCTCCCTGTCTGTGTCTCATGGAGAGCAAGCTGGGGTATGAGAAAAGACAAATTCCTAATGCAAGAAATTGCATATGGCCAATAAAGTCATCTTACTTATCTTATTTTAGTTTCTGTTGTCTTTCTGCTATGGGAGTTAAGAAACCCTACTTTGAGAACGCAGACGGAGAGATCAGCGTGACCAGGGCCGTCAGAGGTGAAATGAGAACCTATGGGCCTGGAGAAATGTATAAAATTATGCTTGCCGTTCAAGTAAGGTTTTGCACATAGACGTCTGACCTTAGAACGACCGCTTTCAGCTCGGCTTTCTGACCATGAGCTCGAGAAGCTGCCTGGGGTTGAAGTGGGGGGGGTTCAGTGGGC